CTTTTCTTTAGCTTGGAGAAGGAAAGATTCCTGTCAAACTTGGACGCAACTTTGGACTACAGTAGTTTCCGCAACGCCGACATCGTCATCGAAGCCGTATTTGAAGACATAAACATTAAACACAAAGTTGTAAAAGAAGTGGAAGCCATCACGAGACCAGACTGCATTTTCGCTACTAACACTAGCGCTATTCCCATTTCCAAAATTGCCGAAGCCTCTACCAGACCCGAGAGATTTATCGGTAAGTCAGTGTTTTTAATTTTGGGGTACTTTTTTATCCAAACATTTTTGCTAAAAAAGAAAATTTACATTTAAATTTATTGCCGGAACTAGATTATTGTCTTTTTAGTTTCATATATAAAAATTTGTTCACTAGTTGACATCTTAAGACAAACCCATTTAAAATTTACATTCTTAAGACAACAAATCTTTTAATTACAATTCTTTAAGAAATAATATGGTTTTGTCTTAACCAATTTTAATTTTTTCAAAACGGACATACAATGAATTTCTTCAGGAAATTAAAAGTCAGTTTTTTTGTGATTTTTTTATTTTCATCGTTTTTTTTTATTATAACAAGCCTCAAGTTTAGTTAATTTTTAGTAGATTTTTGTATTAATAGAAATTCTGTTGACCTTGATGTATGGTATAATTTAATCGTTTATTTTTTTTAATATAAATTCAACAGAAATAAATTATTTAATTTTTATTTCAAATATTCAATACAAATATAAACTATAAAATTATGTTTGATACGTTAGGAAAATCAAACAAGTAACAAAAGAGTGCTTGCAGTTTCTTGATTTATGTTGCAGTATATAAACTCCCAATAAAACCATTTTATTGGGAGTTTCCAATTCTATAGATATAATAAAAAAGGATTTTTTATCGTGATTTGAATTTTAAAAAATTATTCGATTTACATCGCGATTTTAATCAGTGATTGAAATTATGTGATTTAAATCATAACAACCCTAAAATTAACTCAAAAATTGATTAATCAGTGGAAAAATATTGCGAAAAGTTTAAAATTTACCAAAAATAATATACAGTGACTGTGGGACATCGAAAATATTTAAATTCTTAAGGCAAATCTATCTAAAGTTGACATTTTTAAGGCAGTTAAGGCTATATGGGATTATATATCAAGACAGTTACATTAAGCTTAGGTTGACATTCTTAATACAGCTCAACTTGTCATTCTTTAAACCAGTGTTCCCCAAAAAATTGTTTCTGAATAAAGATTCATTTTTTAGATACAAAAAAAGTAAAAGTTGTCGTATTGTATACAAGTCCTTTGGAGGGGACTTTAAGCAAGCAGTCCACTCCTACCCCTAATCCGCACAAGTAATTTAGTTGACTTCTGGGACTTCTTAGAGTGGAACTAAAAGAGTACTAAAAAATATTGTAGAGAACTCAAATTTAGGATTTTATGAAATTTTGGATAAAAATAGAAATAGAAATAGAAAAATTGTTCGAGGGTTTTTCGAGAAAATATTTTTAAAGCCGTTCGAAAAATAACTTTTAATTTAATTTTTTTTTAAGTAAATAAAAAATATGCTGTTTTGTAATTTTGACATATTTTAACATATGAAAATTAAAAGCATATATTTTCATAAATATTAACAAGTCATTCCCCTGGCTACAAAAGCAAACTTTTTCATGAAATATATTTTTTATGAATGTCTATAAACCTATCGTTATTTCATACCCTTATTTCAGACATAAAATTGCTCTTGACTTGTGTTATTAATGTGTTTTATTTTTTTAGGCATGCATTACTTTTCACCAGTAGACAAGATGCAGCTGTTGGAAATCATCACCACCCCCAAAACCAGCAAGGAAACCACTGCAATGGCCGTCGATGTCGGTCTGAAGCAAGGAAAAGTGGTCATCACGGTTGGTGATGGTCCCGGTTTCTACACCACTCGTATTTTGTCTGCTATGATGGCCGAATCCATCCGATTGTTGCAAGAAGGCGTCGAACCTATGGTTTTGGATTCGTTGACGAAGAAGTTCGGTTTCCCCGTAGGTGCCGCCACTCTAGCCGACGAGGTCGGTTTAGATGTTGCCTCCCATATTGGACCAGATCTAGCCAAAGTAAGAACAAATATTTTCTTTTGCTATATACGTAAAACACTACAATGTACGAAGGCGTAGAAGGGCCATATAAAATTCAAATCTGTATTTTTTACAAATTTTAACAATATTCTGAAATTTTAAAATTTTGAGCTGTAGTCGAAATATTACACCAAAATTCTGTGTTATATCTAGTGGCAGTGTTGCCATTGTTAGTACTTTTATACTAGATTTAGTCCTGAAATTGATTTTAGTATGCTTTAGCAAAATCTAGTATTTTTTGTAGTTGAATATATTCTCGCAACAAAATTGGTTTAAACCACAAACATGTGTTTTTAACGGAATTAAAACTAAAATAATTTTTAATCATTTTCGCAACAATGCAAACAATTGACTGACTTAATTTCAGTGACATGTAAATAAAATTGCCCACAGATGGCAGCATCATAAATGTGCAATCACACTGGGTGTTCTGTAACCTTCTTTACATATCACAGGCTTCTTTTGTATGGGCTTTTTTACATCTCACAACCAGCATTGCAGACTGCTACTTGCAGTTTTTTAGTTCTTTAGCAGGACTCCCAACATAAATGCCTTTAGTTGTCTGTCAAATAGTTCATTTTTTAAGATAATTTTTTTTTTAATATTGTATACCACATACAGTGTGTATTAAAACGAATAGATACACTTAAATAAAACAAGTGCCAAACCCCCACTGTGGTAGGGATTGAGAATTTATAGGTTTTATTTTTATCGAATTCGTTTGTTTTGTTTTAATGCATTTCTGCAAATAAAAACTAAGTATTGTTTAAAATCCATTAAATTCCAGTTAATGGCGAAAATGTATTTCTTAAAAACTATACACATTTCCCTACGACAGCGTCGGAACTACTGAACAAACACAGTAGATCAAACTGCATGCCGCGCTGTTACCATATGCTATTATTGTTTCCTAAAAGGGTTGTTTTTCTTATTTTTTAATATTAAAAGTAAGAAAATTAACTAAATCAAATTATTTTTGACATATTAATTTTTTTGTTATTTTTAAAGTTTCAAACAATTAAAATTGAACTATTTATTAAATAATTATAATCGTTCTCTTCTGATTTAAAACAACCTGGCAACTATGGTTCGTAATTACGAATGGCTTGGTTTAAACCACGCCCAATTAAAGTTTGTTTCTTTTTCTCTGATCAGAATATAATTTGTCATCCTTGTCTCCAGCCTTACTTGATTCTATACAGTCTGTATATTTGTTATTTATTCAATTAAAAGTGCAGTCATAGGTAACACAAAACCAAATATATGAAATATTGGTGCTGCCATATGTGGCCAATTTCACCAATATTACATTTAGTACAATCTAGTACGAAACAAAATGAACAAGTGGCAACACTGACTAGGGGTGAAGGGTAAAGTCGTCTATTAAGCGACAATTCGAGAATTTTAAAATTGCGAGATATAACACGAAATTTTAAAATTCCGAGATGTAAGACGAAATTTTGGTGTAATATTTCGACTTCCAGCTCAAAATTTTAAAACTTCGAGTTATATCTCAGAAATTTATTAAAATTTGTGAAAAATACAGATTTGAATTTTGGATGGCCCTGCTTTGCCTTCGTAACAATGTAACAGATTTGACAACAAAAATTACAAAACCGAAAACTGAAAATGCAATATTTTTACCGTGAGTGTAAAGGAAAAATATTTCATATCTTATTTTTTCAAATTTTTTCATCAAATTTAATGGTTTTACAATGGTCAACAGCCATTTTGCCACAGGGTGGCCAACAACTTTTCCAGAGTTATTTGGGTGCGCTGATTTAAAAAATAACCAAAATTTTGCTCAAACCGTTTTTTTCGATATGCAAACAGTACTAAATAGTAATAAATTATACACATTTATAAAGTTAGTCCGGTTTCGCCGGGCCGTTGCTATACGAATTTGTATATAAAAAAAAATGTTTTTTCCACAATATCTTGAAAACAAAGGCTAATTAAGGAAAATTATGCTCATTTTTGGAAAAATTACCCCAGAAAAGTTGGTTAGTTAGTGTTATATAATATTTTCTATTTTATAATATTTCTTGTAGGCATTTGGTGAAAGATTTGGAGGTGGTGACTTAGGAGTAATGAGGGACATTGTCCAAGCTGGTTTCTTGGGCAGAAAATCCGGCAAAGGTATTTACATCTACCAAAAGGGCTCCAAACACCGCGACGTCAACACCGAAGCCTTGGACATCATCAAGAAATACTCATTGGAACCCAAAGGCTCCTTTGAAGATGAAGACAAAACCCTCCGTATGGTAGCAAGGTTCGTGAATGAAGCAGTTTTATGCTTGGAAGAGAAAATTCTTGCTAGTCCCATGGAAGGAGATATTGGAGCCGTGTTTGGACTTGGTTTCCCACCATTTTCCGGCGGCCCATTCCGTTGGGTTGATACCTACGGAGCAGCTAAACTTGTCAGCAAAATGGAGGCCTTCCAAAGCTCCTATGGACTTCCATTCAAACCAGCACAAACTTTGATGGACATGGCTAAAGATTCTAGCAAAAAATTCTATCCTTCATAATTTATTTAAGTTATTTTAATTGTGTGCCTTAATAATGTTTATTTTTTATATACCTACCCTAGATTTTATTGTTCTTAATACTTTTATATGCTGTTTGAATAATGTAAGAAAACAATTTTTTATGTAAATATATTATTATTATGGTTTTTATGGATTTTATTCTACATACAAATTAATTACCTGAAATGCAGTATATATATATTAAGGTTAAAAAATAGTATTTATATTTAAAAACAAACTTGTTGATATTTATAGTCTTAACAAACCCAAATTTAAAGGGTTCAAGGAAATGCTCAATTTAAAAAATCCTTAAAAAGTTAATAATTTATCAAATAAAAAATTAAAAAACATGGCTAATATTACTCTTAAACTAAATTAACTAATATAATCTTAAAATACAAAATATTTTTTACTTATTAGCAACAATCCAGTAATGTTTCATAACATCAGGCAAAGTAATACGTTTACTTATCGACTTCTGCAGCAATTTTGATATCAAATCTGTGGCCCCATCGCTGACATGCTCAGGATAATGTAATTCAACGCCCCTAATTTTCTTGTATGTTTCTTCATTAGTTTTACTTTCAAATGGAGGATTTCCAACCAAAAATTCATAGCACAATACACCTAAACACCAATGGTCAACGTATTGGCAGTATTCTTCTCCTTCAACCATCTCTGGAGGTAAATAATCCAAAGTACCACATAGGGTAGTACGTTTCAAAGAAGGAGCATGCACAGACCATCCAAAATCAGCCAATTTTATATCACCATGAATTGTTAAAAGCAAATTTTCTGGTTTTAAGTCTCTGTGTATAACTTGGTTTTGATGACAGTAATGCAAAGCATCTGCTACTTGGTAGGTATACTTTGCAGATAAATGTTCGTTAAAGCAACCCCCAGGACTCTTTTTTAAGTATGTATAAAGTTCACCTTTACCAGCATACTCCAGAACAAGATAAATTCTGTGAGAATCTTGGAACCATGCCAACAATTGTAGGATATTAGGGTGTTTTAAGTGACTTTGTATTTCAATTTCTCTAAGAAGTTGTCTTTCAACTCTACCTTTAACTATCTCTTTTTTGTATAAAGTTTTTAATGCAACCAAAAAGCCTGTTTGTTTTTCTCTTGCAGTGTATACTCTTCCGAATTTTCCACGCCCCAAACGAGATCCCAGTTCAAAGTCATCCAAACTCCATTTGTACTCATTGTTACGATAGCATTCATGTGTCATCATGTTTTTTACTAGGTTTTCTGTTTTCTCTTCCAGTCCTTTGGGTATATTGTGTTGGATGGCTTTTAAATGGGATTTAATTTCCTTTTTTAATGTACCCGACATTTTAAATTCTATTTTGCCTCTTTTAATAACCAATAAACTAAAAAAAGTAAAATAAGTTAGTAAGAAACATTATTTAACATGTAGGTATGTAACTTACATAAAACTTAATATAAAAGTAATTCAATTATTTGTTTACCCCAATATATTCTTGAAACTAACGTTGAATAAAGTGAAACGATTTTCGGACAGCTTTTTTTGACATTCAAAATGTAAACCCGGGATTTTAACGGTTTTTAACTAGGCAACCCAGTTTACAACTTTGAGTTAAATTGTTGCATTTTATCTCTGATTTTGTAGGATAAATTTGATAGATTATTAGGTTAAATACTTAATAGTGGTAATAATCTATTAATTTAATAGGAGTTCTCTATGAATTCAGTGGCGTAATAAGCACCCCCGCAGACCCCGCACCGCGGGGGGGCCCAGAGGGTCAGGGGGCCCAAGGCTCACATCACTCTTTAAACGTTTAAACCAATAAATTAAAGAAATATTTAATTTTTTAAATATTCAATCTTAAAAAAAAATTAAAAATCTTAAAAAACTAAACGTATAAGAATTTTTTGTTAAAAATATTTATTTAATTAGTTGATTTTGAAAATGCCCGAGAAATAAAATGCCCCATCTATTAAACGCTTTTCCAAATGTTAATATTTGCTGAATTAATAATGTTATTTGTTATATTTTAATTCTATTGTTATTTGGTTTGAAAGTTATGCAAAAATTATTTGTTAAAAATAATTAAAATTTAACAATTTAAAAAAAATTAAATTAAATGCAATACGACAAAATATAAACTTTATAGAATTACCATGGTGGATAAAGAGGCAACCTGTATTTTAATATTTTAAAATTTTGTATCGACAATATGGTTCTTTGCAAATTCACACATGAGTAAAAACTTATTTTAGTTCATGTGTAGTTATCGTAACAGGAAATATTTAGGACCTAAATTTTAGGTTATTATTATTTTAAAAAATTTTTTTAAAGAATCTTAATACGATATTATATAATATAGAATAGAATAAGATTTTTTAAACCAAAATTAATTAAATATTCTTTGTTTTACTACCAAAAATTGCAGATACAGGCTGTATCTAGGCTATATCTGCAATTTTTGGTAGTAAAACAGAAAATATTTAATTAATTTTGGTTTAAAAATCTTATTCTATATATACCTTTTTATTTGCAGGATTATTTTCGTAATTCTATAATATATAATATACATGTATACATGTATACATATATACATGTATACATGTATACATGTATTATTCCATTCTTTTAAAAAAATATTTAAATAATAATTACCCAAATATTTTCTGTTTATATATATAATTATAATTAAAAAACGATAATTACGCATGAACTTAATTAAGTTTTTACGCATGTGCGAATTTGCAAAGAAGCATATTGTCGATAAAACACATCCATTTTTCTTACCTAATAATATGTATATTATTAATATGAGTTTAAAAGTACTATGATAAACTAATTTAAAAATTACCTAAGGGTAATAATAAACTTTTTACTCATTGTAAAGGGGGCCCATTAAAATCGTTTTGCGGGGGGGCCCACTCAGAATTTGTTACGCCACTGTATGAATTGCAAATATTCTGACAATTTGTGAAAACAAGTATTTATCTTTAAGCGTCCTATAATTTAATTTTTCAACGCTCACTATATAGTGAGCGTTCGATCATCTCCTAGGCTGTAAAAATAATTTAGACCAATCAGCCTGAATCAGGTAAGGTTTTTTACATCCTAGTAATAGTCGAAATTTTGTATCACCCGGCGGTTTTTTGTTTGGGGGTGATTGGTGCCACCAATTTGGTGGTGCTAAATCTGAAACCCGTACGACTTAAGGTGAATTTAGCCAGCATTTAATGTAATGTAATACCTATTACATATGTAACGTACCGTAATTTAATTTAAAAGATAAAACTGTATAACCCTATGGACGCGTTTAGCCAGCATCATATGGCCAGCATATAATGTAACGTAATGTAAGGTAAAGTAGGCCAACTTTTAAATTATCCCATAAATTGTTCCATGGCGGCAATATCGTGCGTTCAATAGTTATATCAGAATTATATTTCAAATTTTTAACCCTCGATAGAGGATAATAATGCGCACATATCGTACATTTAAACCGTGACCGAAAAATTCACAGCTTTTGACAAAATTTTATTAATTGCTTAAGGGGAGTCCGAAGTTAAGGGAAATTGACAAAACCTGCCGCACAAATTAGGTTTTGTTTTACCACCAGCAGCATTGATTGTCGATGGTTACTGACGTCTGCGGTTTTGGTGCTGTTTTGGTACGTACAAGCGCTTGTATAGGCTCCATGGAGTACTCTATAGATCGAGTCGATATATCGATATACTCGAGTATATCGATATATCGACTCGGCTTTTTGAGGGCTACAAATTGTCATTTGAAAGAAAATTGCTTGATTTTTTTAAGCGCGAAATTGAATAAAAACTGATTTTTCAAAATTCTTCACCCCCAAAATGAACCTTGACGACTTTGCCCATGTGAACAAAAATGTTGAACGGATTTTTCTGAACAATTTATCAAACAGAGTTTAAGTTCCCAACAAAAAACCCGCGGAGAAGTTGTGTTCTTAAACTCGAATTCTGGCCAAAAAAATTCATCGGTAACAGAATCCCCAAAAATTGGACTCATCAACCTTGGGTCGTTGCGTCATCAATTTTAAATGTCAAAAACCGGGGTTCGACATACGTCCGGCAGACATCCCACATACGCCTCGGCGACTATATAAAGAAAACAGCTAATTGTAATGTCTGTGCTTGATTCACGAATTGATGACGCAACGGAAAACATTGACCGCGGCGACTATAACATCGATCCGTCTTATCGGAACACCCTTAAATTTATCTTTAAATATGCTTTAATGAGCTTTAAATGCACTTTTGTATTGTATTTTAACAAAATTTAACAAAATATAAATGTACCTACCCTGATAGCACACTTTATTCTAAGAATGTTTTTTAAACCTTCCAGTGGGAATATTCTTAGGATCATGCTATATTTCTTCTAGGCATGTTCTAAGAATGTTTTTTAAACTTTCCAGTAAGAATATTCTTAGGATCATGCTATATTTCTTTTAAAGAACATGCTTAAAAGAAATATAGCATGATCCTAAGAATATTCGAATATATAAGATCTTACTGGCCTATAAGCAGGTTCTTAGAAGGTGTAAAGTTTTAGTGGTAAAAATTAGTCTACTCTAAACATATGTTTAGAATGTTGAGAAAGTAATTGCTATAGAAATTCCATTTAGGAATATTCGTGTTAAGCATATTTAGTTCAGTTACCTATATAATAGTAAAATATACCATAAACTACGTATAAAGGTATACTTATACCCATACTTAAGTACCTAATTAGTAATTAGTATTAAATACTAAAAAACAATAATGTCAAATTGTTTATTTAATATTTTTAAATAAATATATTAATATGTCGCAAAATATTTTAAGGGGACGACAAATACATTTCACTGTCATATTATGACAGTGAGGCGTATTTGTCGTCTCCTGAAGAATTTTACGAATGTAGAATACAACATATTAGAACGTGGGTATCTGATATCTGGGAATATTCTCAAAAACTTCCTAGAAGCTCCATAAGAAACCTTCTAAGAACATTCCAAAAACGTATTCTTAAAATGTTCTTGGGATGCTTTTTAAGAAGGTTTTAAGAAGCTTTTAAGAATCTAATTGCATCATTAAAAGGGTATCTATTGAATGTTTTAAAAGTCCCTAAGAACATTCTTAGCAATTATTGTTATTATTTATTATTATTATTATTATTATTATTATTATTATTATTATTATTATTATTATTATTATTATTATTATTATTATTATTATTATTATTATTATTATTATTATTATTATTATTATTATTATTATTATTGTTATTATTATAAGGGAAGCTTCTAAGAATATTCCATTATTCCGGGTCATATCTTCTTAGAAGATTCTTAAAATCAAATTTTGCTCAGGGTATGATAATACTGTTAAATTTAAGAAACTTTACCTAAAACTGTCTCCTTTTCCACTACAATGAACTACAAAAACTACTGATTTTTATTTTTGAAATTTACCATTTAGGTAAAACATACTTTTTCAAATGATGTCAATAAAAATTGTAAAAAATAATTTAAATATTCCTTGATTAAAGAAATTTTAGTACACTTTACTGCCCTGCTAAGCCAAACCCCCGTACATACAATATTAAGTATTATTAATAAAGAACAAACGATTATTTTAGGTAATTGCTAAAAACAATAAAAAAATTTTTGTCCTTTATTACTTAATATTCCAGTAGGGCGGTTTAGCTTAGCACGGCAGTAAAGTGTACTAAAATTTCTTCAGTTGAATATTTAAATTTAAATTATTTAATACAAAGAAAAGTAAACATTATAAAAATTATATACAAATTATACAAATACAAATAAAAAAAAATGAATTAAATTCCTAGTTTAAATATTTTGATATATTTTATCAAATGCATTTGGAAATTATTTTGAAACATTTATATGAAAATTGTTAAAAATTAGTGTTTAAATAGGAAAGCGAAATTTCCGCACGTGCACAGTAAGAATTCGGTCGAGTATCTCGTATCTAATGGGATACGGCCCTGGCGTCGGATTTGCGATTGCGCGGCGTCGATGTTGGCGTCGAGACGGTGCGTCCAGCTGAGCCCGGGGGACTGGACCAGTGCCGCGTCGCCTACCGCACGAATGAACGAAATGTCGAGCTGATAATTATTAATAATCTGACCGAATTTCCTATTTAACCCTTGGGCCACTACCCAACCGAAACGATTGACAGAGCTTAGCGATTCGCTTGATTGAGATTGAAAAAGTAAGGGGGCGATTGGCTGTCGACGATGTCGTTTAGGGTGAGTAGGTTGTCGCGCCGCGAGTGATCAGTGTGTGGTGGCCAGCATGCAACAGGCAAACCAGGTGGGAGAGCAGGGGGGAGCCCCGGCCAGCTCACCAGCGGCCACCGGGGCCACCGGCACCGCGACCAACAAAAGCCACGTGAACGGCGGCCGATTCGACTTTGACGACGGCGGCACTTATTGCGGCGGCTGGGAGGAGGGCAAAGCCCACGGCCACGGAGTCTGCACCGGACCCAAGGGCCAGGGCGCCTATTCCGGCTCCTGGCACTACGGTTTCGAAGTATCTGGCATCTACACCTGGCCTAGGTAACCTACCTTCTATTTGTTTACCCATACTTATATGCAGGGTGTGTACACGTGACACGTGAAACTTGACAGCTAAAAAACAGTGCCCTAATGTTAATTTGCTGAAAGCATATGGTTTATTCCAAGTTTTGGAGATGATGTGTAGTGGTCCAGGATAAATTTCTTAAATATTGAGATTTCTTAATAATTGACCAAGCTTTATATTTAAATGTGTTATAACTAAACAATTTTTATTTATATTGTATAAAATATTTTTTTAAATTAATACAATTATTTTTTCCTTAAATTTATAAAAAAAATGTTTTTAAAATGTAGGTACTACAAGATTTAAAAAAAAATTATTGGCCATTGGATTAGTTCATTTTAATACGGTTTTAAGAATAGGTTTAAAACATTTAAAAAAGTTGTTAAAAATGTTTAAAAATATGTTATGAAGTTTTAAAGTTTTTTGGAAGTTTGAGTTACGCAAACAAAAAGCGATGTCAATAGAACACTAACAAACAAAATTTTGTTTATTTTTTACGTTCGATGAAGAAAATTTCCGAGCGAGCCGATAGGCGAGTGAGGGAATTCATTGAGGGAGTAATTGCGATTCCACGCGAGGAAAACACTATGATTTTTTGTCGAGTGGTGCTAATTAATTGTTAGGAAATTAAAAAAGTAACGTTTAATTAAAAACAGATGTTTACATTCCTAAAGTCGTTCCAATTAAGTTAGTAGGGTAAGTTGGGGTAAATATGGACGAATTTTAATATTTTTGATACACTCGTGTAAATATATAAAATTAACATAATTTTTTGAACAATTTAAAGATTTGCTTGGTACAAGATGCTTTAATAATAATATCAGTTGGACAATTTAAACACCGTATATTTTTTTACATAATGTTTTTAGTTGATTTATTTTTGGAAGAATTAAAATCTTGTGTCATGTTTTCTTTTACCCCATACCTTACGGGGAAAATGTAAACAATTATTTTGTAGACCATAGACTTTAATGTAAAATATATCAGGGTAAATATAACCATTATTATTTTTGTATCTGTGTTGAAATTTTTTTAAATTTAATGCCATGTTCTTATTTACCCCATGAAGAAAGGCAAGTTTAAATAAAATTCAGTTTAGTGATAAAACAAAGATATATTAATAAACTTTTTAGGTTTGTTCTAGTACAGGAAATTTTTTAAATTTATAATTAATTATTTCCCATTTTAAAGTAAATTTATCACTAAATAACTTTAAAATATCTTACAAAGGTTCCAAATAGATCTCATTTTCCAAGTTACTTTCATCAAATTTTTCATCACAAGAGCTTACAGTCCTTTTTATAGATTTTTGTTTTATTCTATTTAAAAATAGCCATTAAAAAGCGTATTAGCGTATTAGGGATAATACCAACTGTTGACTCCGACTATTTAAATGCTTCGGCATTTTAAATATAGGAAAAACAAAAACAAACACAGAAACGGCAATGAAAACTTAAACGATATAAAATAACACAAACAACAAACAAAATAAACAAAATTATACAGGAAATATTCAAAAACACAACTGACAGCTTCAAAATTCTAAAACGTCAATTTCTTTTTCTATGCGTCATTTTATTAAGCAAAATTTTAATCTAAACATGACAACATTGCAATTGCTGCCAACTAAAGTTGTTTAAAATGCATTAAAATATTCATTTACAGACTTCGTTCTATACATTTAGTGTTGGTACCAGTGCGCAAAATTATGACGTCATCGATGACTTGTACGTCGTTTCCTTTTAAATTTACTATACAAACATGTTTTAAATAATTTTATATTCTCCTACATTGAGCTGTGAGTCACAGCCTGTGACTATTTGGCGTTTTAGTCACAGGCTTAAATTAGCAACAGTGGCTTTTATAAATAAATAGGCATTTTATTAATTATAAAGCTAGCTTTATTATAAATTGGGAAAAATTGAGGTTAAACTTGTCTGACAGATGTCAAATGTTTAACAAATAAAATTGGCTTTAAATTTTTTTTTTGTGCTCGTCGTAGATAAAATATACTATGCAACTCGTCTTGTAAACTTCTCTAGATACCTACTAGTTTTTATTAAACACTCGCTTGCAAGCATTGCTCCTGCCTAATGAAACTTGTTACTAAAATAGAGTTTATAAAACTTGATACATAATAATATTATATTATATTTTATTATTTATTATTATTATTTTATACTATTAAATTTTATGTTTATGTCAAATGATTATTAAGTTACTTAGAATTTACCTATATTTATTTACACTTTATAAAAGTGTATTTTTTATGTATTTTCCATGCATTAATTTTTTTTTAATATTACATAGTATACCTATAGGTATGACATTATGTAGGTATCAAGTTTAATAATCTCCATTTTAGATACAAATTTTAAGCAGGCACGGGCGAACTTGCGAGCGAGTGTTCAATTAAATGAGTGTCTAGAAAAGTTTATAAACGAGTTACATATTATACTTTTTCTACGACAAATACCTATTATTCTAAAAATGATTTAAAATAAATATTTGTATCGCGTAAGACTTTCTAACTTGGCAATCTGTATTACCGGCGCGCCGGTCAAAACGTCAAATTTTTATGTAAAATCGAAATTAATCCCTTAAAAATGGACTAACAACCGTTTAAATCTGATATTTAGGCCAATTCACTAACATAAGTCATTAACGTTAGCCACTAGAATTAGTGGTTATCGTTATATTTAATCGCCCTGATTGGCCGGTTTGGCAGATAACCACTGATTCTAGTGGCTATCGTTAATGACTTATGTTAGTAAATTGGCGTGATTGAAGCATTTTTACACTGTGAAAGTAAAGCGAACGTTTTATGTGCATTTTACGGTGGAGACTCCACACGAAATTTTTAATGCTTTAATGGTTAAATCTAGTTTACTGCCGGCGAAACTAAAATGTCAATACAAACTTGCATATAAACGTTTGAAATAAGTATTGGCGTTGACAAACTATTTGATACTTTTTTATTTTTGTATTAAGATAATAAAATATTTTTTACATTATTATTTTACTAGGGCACTTTATTTTAACGATTGTATGACATTTGACAACTGTTAATTAACTTAAAACTAACTTCATCCTGTGACTAAAACGCCATAAAGCCACAACTTGTCAATGTGTGTTTAAAAGATCACTTTGGGTCATGGAAACATGTACGATTATTAATTAGTAAATTAACATTGATTTAAACATTCCAATTATGTTAGTAAGTGGTTTTTTAAGCCTAAACTCCAGTATTAATGTACTAAACAGTATGTAAGTAAATTTCTCAGATTGTATATTTTCGTATTTACGAATACCTAGTGCAGTACGTGTTTAAAACAAACAAACATTTTATAAAAATGCTAATGTGCGCTAATTTGAAGTTAAAATATACCTGGCTACCTATTTTTATTAGTTAACATAAATTAAATCATTTTAAATTAACCAGACAGAGACGTTACAAATTTTAGACCAATTTTAGCTTGCCATAATTTAAATGAAGACCGAATTTCATGCATAAAATGTATTTTTAATTTGTATTTATTTTTATCATGTTATTAGGTACAAGTAGCATCAAATCTGGTCTTGATATTTATAAACAATATGTTTTGTTAAATTGTTAGTATTGTAGCACAGAAAAATATTTTTTAAAAGGCCCTGAAAGTAACCCCGACGCATTCGCCATTTTTGCAAACTTATATAATAATGTCCTTAACTAAACTCGTCGCAACGAAATAGCACTTAATTATACGGTATATAATTTATACCGGCATAACTAAATATTTAGTTAACATTTGGTGAAATTCTAAAATATATATATAGGTACTTTAAAAATAAATATACACGCAATAACAAAAAAAAGAAAAATCAGTTAATTTTAGAGAAAAACAAAAACCAAACAAATTTCGAACTTTTTATTTTAAGATTATTTTGCTAAAAATTAAATTTAATAATGGGTTCGTCCTCTTCGAGCTCATAAAACCTCAGCACATCTTCTAGGCATTGCCTCTATTATATTGTCTAATGGACAAGATCTTGAGAAATGTTTTACTTCTTGTACCATTATAGCAAGCGCTTGAAGGGTATTTGGTCTTTGGAGGTTATGCAAGCGCCTTTTAATAATGCTTTAAAGATGTTCAATTGGGTTTAAATCGGAACTATTGACTGGCTCTCCATAATACTTTTTTAACCTACTTAATTTGCAAAAGGTAGCACAATAGGTCGTAAAATGTTGTTGATGTATCCCCAATTCTGTGGAAAGCAGTACAGCCTAACTTATACCACTCCAAACTATTATACAAACTATATACAAACTATTATATAGTATATAGATCCACCTCCAAAAGCTCAAACTTCTTTAATCGTGGAGTCCAGAAAACGTTCTCCTTGACGTCTACATACTTGTTGACGCCCATCGTGCCAATTTAGACAAAATCTAGACTCGTCGGTAAAGAATACGTTAATCCATTGCTCCCTAGTACAATTGGCTTGTTTTTGTGCAAAATTTCTTCTGGCTCTGCAACGTCCTGTGGCACACAAAAATATTTTTTAAAAGGCCCTGAAAGTCAAATAAGGCCCAACAGCAGAACTCCTTAAATATATATTTTCATCGTAAAGCCAATTTTGTACATTCTGGGTAGATATGCTCCTACAAGTTGCTTCAAAGTGAACATTCTCCTTTCAAGAGCCAGTACCTACGATACGGCCAACTTCTTGGTTACAGTTCCAATCGCAGTGGATGGTTGAGGGGTAGTATTAAGTATTCTTGCCACATACACTCAGAGAAATATCATGTCATGAAAAGCATATGAAATGATATTAATTTAAATAATCGGGTAAATTTGATTCAAATAGAAAAAAATGTAGTATTATATTCATTTACCAACAGTTTTACAATGTTTTTAAACACTTTTAAAGTGTACTCTTTTTAAAATATATATACAAAAAGAAATCTATTTATTTCATTGCCTTTCTCAACGTT